CTAGATAATCAGCACAAGCCCCTCTTGGCCCTGCGCAATGCTACCTGCCTCTGCACATGGGCCTCCCAGTCAAGCAGACCTGGGACTCCTGCCACCTACTTGAGGATCTTATACAAGTTACTCAGCTCTCTAAGCCTCTGCTGCTCATCTGCAAACTGGAGATAACACCGGGCCATCCTACACAGTGCCTGCTTTGCTGAGTAAGGAGATAGTGTCTACAAAGTGTTCAGCACAACGCCTGGGTCAGGAACTCCTGAGTGTGACACCTTCACGACCCACTGACCTCCAAAACGTCCCAACCTTTCCCATCTCCATATCTTTGCTTCCACTGAGGAAGGAGAAGAGAGACGACAACGGGGCAAGGGAGCAAGAACGTGTTTGCCAGCTAAAGGGGGAAGATGTTTCCTTTGCTTTTGGGTCACAGAGTCCCTAGATAACATTTGTTAGCAGCAGAACGGTAGCTGGCAGAAAGATGGAAAGGCTGATGAAGGCAGAGGAGGAGCAGATCTTGGCCTGGAGGAAGAAGGTGGGGAGGGGATTCAGATCTCAGACTTCCTCCTGAGGCCAGTGGGCAGGAAGTGAAGGTGGAGATAGAGAGATAAGTCTGACAGGAAGCCCAGGGAACACAGGAATCACACCTGACATCAGTCAAAGAGGATGAGGTCCTGGGGGAGGGGGCGGGGGAGAGTAAGGTGGCTTAAGGAGAGAGGTGAAGGTTAGAAAAGCCAATAGGAAAAGGGAGGAGAGAGAGCCCAAGACCGCTGGGCATGTCTGAGAGCTTCTGGAGGCTGCAGGCAATGAGAGGGGATGGAGCCTGGTGAATGCTTGGGAGATGAACCAGTGGAGAAGGCCAGTGGTGGACACCTTCTAAAAGAAGGATGAAAGAAGAAGACAGAGAAGGAGGGTGGGGGCAGAGCAAGTGGGCTGACAGCTCTTGAAAAAACCTAGTGGTGGCCAGGTGCAGTTTTGTGTGCCCATAATCCCAGTGGCTTGGGAGGCTGAGGCAGGAGGATCATAAGTTCAAAGCCAGCCTCAGCAAAATTGAGGTGCCAACTAACTCAGTGAGACCCTGTCTCTAAAGAAAATACAAAATAGGGCTGGGGATGTGGCTCAGGGGTTGAATGTCCTTGAGTTCAATCCTGGTTATATCCCCTACCCCGCAAAAAAAAAAAAAAAAAGTCTAGTGGTGATATCTAGAATGGATCGAGGAGAAACTGCAGCCTTAAGGTAGAGAGTTTCAGGTCATTAATAAGATCTAGGAGCAGGTTTGGTAGATATGAGCAATTTGGGGAATAGAAACACGGAGGTGGCAGAGAGGAGATTAAAGCTAAAACTTAAGCAGGAGCTAAGAAAAAAAAAAGCTTAAAACTCATGTTCATCATGTCCTGGGCCAAAAGCGAGTCTCCTTAGGTTTAAAATGATTGTGCAACCATCATCACAATTTTTTTTTTTTTTTTGGTCTTGCTGGGGGTTGAGGGTGCTGGGCCTCACACAGATCTTACCACCCCTATATCCCTGGTTGCATCACATCATCACTGTTTAATTTTAGAACATTTTGTCAGCCTCCAAAGAAATCCCATACCTAATTATAAGCCACTGTCCATTCCTACCCTCAGTCCTAGGCAACCATTAATCCACTTTCTGTCTCTATAGATTTGCCTTTTTTAGAACCTTTAGGATAAATGAAATCATACAATACATGGCCTCTTAAGTCTGGTCTCTAATTCCGCATATTTTCAGACCCATCTGTGTTGGAGATGAGTATTCTGTTCTTCTTTACTGAGGAATATACTCTTCCAGTGTATAGATGTGCCACAATTTATTTGGTCACCAGTTAATGGATATTATTTCTAGTTTATGGATATCATAAAAAATGCTGCTATGAAAATGTACATATAAGTCTTTATGTGGACATTATTGTTGTTACCTCTTGGGTCTATACCTAGAAGTGTAACTTCTGGGTCCTATGATAATTCTACATTTAACTCCTGAAGAAACTGCCAAACTGTGCTCTCGTTTTGAATGGTTGTTCTATTTTACACTCCAACCAACAATCAGGAGCATTCTTCTGTTCTGTATCCTTGTGAATATTGGTCAACATTGACCAGGGATGTACAGCCTTATAGAGCTGTGTTGAGTTCCTGTCCCTCTTATTATTAGAGTCATTAGTTTGCAGTGAAGGGACATTTTATTGTGTGTGGTTGGTTTATTTTGTTTTCATTCTAGTACTGGGGATTGAACCCAGGGGCAATCTACCACTGAACCGTATCTCCGGCTCATTTCGTTTTTAATATTTTGAGACAGGGTCTTGCTAAGTTGCTGAGACTGGCTTCAAACTTGCAATCCTCCTGCCTCGGTCTCCAAGTAACTGGGATCACAAGCGTGCGCCGCTCACTGTGCTGGGCTTTCGCTGTGGCTTTGATTTGCATTTCTCTGATGATTAACAATATTGAGCATCAGGGGGAATCTTTTCATGTACTTCCTAGTCATTTGTATACCTTCTTTGGTGAAATGTCTACTCAGGTCCTTCACCCATTTTTAAATGGGGTTTTCTTCCTATTATTGAGTTGAAGGAATTAAAAAAAAATATTTTTAGAGGTAGATGGACATAATACCTTTATTTTGTTTTTTTATGTGGTGCTAGGGATCGAACCCAGTGCCTCATGTGTGGTAGGCAAGTGCTCTACCACTGAGCCACAACCCTAGCCCTGAAGTAATTCTTCATATAGTCTAGATTTAAGTCCCTTGTTGGATATATGATTTGAAAATCATCTTTTTCCAGTCTGTGGCTTAGATTTTCATCTTCTGGATATGTTTGGACGAGAAAACATCTTTAAAGTCCAGTTGACCAAGTTTTTCCTTTGAGGATGATGCTTCAGGTGTTAAGTCTAAGAAGACTTTCCCTAACCCTAGGTCCACAACAATGTTTCTCTTCCTTCTAGAAGTTTAACAGGAATTAAGAAATCAATATTTAAAACCCCACAAATATAGGAAGATTAAACACCACACTTGAAAACAGTCTGTGGCTCAAAGAAGAAATCAGAAAGAAAATTTAAAAAAAATATTTCAAATACAATGATAATGAAAATATATTTCACTAAGATGTTTTTAAAAGCACAAAAATTATAACAGGCCATGTATTCAACATACACCATGTACCTTTTTTTGCTCTCTGCTTCAGGGTGAAATTTCTCAAAGAATGTTTGTATTTGAGTGTCCGTGCTCACTTCCTTCCACTACATTCTTCAGTAGAATGCAATCTGGCTTCCAGATGCTTCTGGCCACTGGAGCAGTACTAAGGTTCCCAGGGACTTCCTTCCTTGTTGCCAGATCCAGCAGCAGCGCCTCTGTCTTCACCTCACTTGTCCCTTGGGAGCATCAACACTGGCCCTCCTCCTACTTCTTTGGTCTCTCCTCACTCTGTCATGTTTGTGTCCCTGGAAGATCTGCCCTTAGGTCTTTTCTTCCTTCAGTGTCCTCTCCCCTCAGGGAATCTCACTCATCCCATGTCTTCAATGGATCATTTATATGCAAAGAATTTTTTTCATATATTCCCATCCCAGATCCCTCCTTTGAAATCCCAATCCACAGATCCAATTGCTCCCCTCCAGGATCTTCTCTTGGCTCTTCTTTTTTCAGTATCAGGGATTGAATTCAGGGGCACTCAACCACTGAGCCACATCCACAGCCCTATTTTTGTATTTTATTTAGAGCCAGGGTCTCACTGAGTTACTTAGCACCTCGCCATTGCTGAGGCTGGTTTTGAACTTGAGATCCTCCTGCCTTAGCCTCCCAAACTTCTGGCACACAGGTGTGTGCCACTGCACCCAGCTGTGTGCCACTGCACCCAGCTCTCGGCTGTTCTTAAAAGGCCCTGCTGTGGTCTGAATGTTTGTGTCCTCTCCCAAATTCCCATGTTGAAGTCCTAACCCCCACGGTGTTTTGTGGAGATGGAGTCTTCCAGAGGCGATCAGCGCTTCAAGGTGGAGCCCTCCTGGATGGAATTAATGTGCTTATAAAAGACCCTCAAGAACTCCCTTGCTCCTTCCACCATGTGAGGACACAGAAGTTGCCATCTATGAGGAACAGGCCCTCACCAGATAATGAAGCTGCTGGCTCCTTGATCTGGGACTTCCTAGCCTCCAGAACAATGGCAAATAAATGTCTGTTGTTTATAAGCCACCTAGTTAATGACATTTTGTTATAGAAGCCCAAACAGAGGCCAGGCACAGTGAGGCACACCTATAATCCCAGTGGCTCGGGAGGCTGAGGCTGGAGGATCGCATTTCAAAGCTATCCTTCAAGTCTGTACTCTACTACATTGAAAGTTCCATAAGGGTAGATCCTACATGCGGTTACATCCATCACTGTATACCTAGTGCCTGGTACAAGCCTTGGGCACTATAGCAGCCACCGAATAAAGATGTTTTCAATGACTGAGTGATGATAAATTAATCTAGGATAAACACAGGACTTAAGTGAAAGAAGATGTACCAGTATCTTCAAAGATTAAAGGGGAGTGACAGGGAAGTGAGATGGTCAGGGATGGACTTGAGGATAATTCAGATAATTGCAGAAGCCCCAGAGGGTGTGGGTTGCATGTGTGTGTGGGGCAGGAGATGTTCTGGGAGTATTCAATCTGGCCTGGATGAAAGAAAAGCAGACTTTCCTGGAGAGATTCACCCTTTTTCCTGGACCAGAATTTCCTTAGGTTAAGGAGGTTCTTATAAGCAACATCCAGAGAGGCCTTGGTTCTTCATAGAATAGGCAGGAAAGCCGCCATTCATTGACAAAGTTCTTAGCCAGTGAATATGGGGCAGATGGGGTTTCTCCATGCTGCCCACCAAATCGCTGAAGACTGGCCCCAATTCATTCCTGAGGAATGAAAACCCCCTCGTGCCCCAAAGGCAAACACAGTATTTCATTAATAGCTCTTCTGATTCTTTCTCAAACCAGATCTTAGAGGCCTAAATCTAATCTCTTTCCATGAAGACACATACCTTAGTCCATCCAGAAAACTGGATGAAGGTGTCCTGGGGCAAGTCGGGGATGCCACTGGGGATGGAGAAGTTTCCCACATAAAAGGCCGGAAGCGTGTAGTTGGGCGAGCTGTCATTGCAGTTCTCATAATGGCAGCCAGCGTCCTGGCCACCCCAGCCCTGCAGGTGGCTGCGCACTGCATCCTCAGTGCCCAGTGGGAAGATGGTCCAGTTTGTGAGGATACTGGAGCCGAGGGTCAGATTAGAAACTAAACCCTGCAAAGGAAAAACAGCACCATGAGCTGGGGAGGGAAGGAGAAAGGCTTTAGGAGTCTCTGCATCCTGTGCTGAAGTCCTACGAAAAGCAAACTGGGGTACAAACCACAACGGTAACGAGTCTCAAACTCTGTGTACCTCCAAGCAGCATGGACGAGAGAGATGAGCATGCTTTGGTATCTGTAAAAGATACCTTCAAGGGTAACGCAGCTAGGCGCGGAAGCGCATGCCTGTAATCCCAGTGGATTGGGAGGTTGAGGCCGGAGAATTGAGAGTTCAAAGCCAGCCTCGACAAAAATAGAGGTGCTATAAGCAACTCAGTGAGACCCTGTCTCTAAATAAAATACAAAATAGGGCTGGGGATGGGGCTCAGTGGTGGAGTGCCCCCGAGTTCAATCCCTGGTACCCCCTCCCCCCAAAAAAATAAGGTATAAATGGTAATGAGGACAACAGTAAACCTCAGGACTGGATTCACAGGGGATGGGGGATGAGGCAACTGTGGTAGTAGCCACCACACAGAAGTTTATGCTCATGGATCATCTACCTTCTCATTCCCAGCTGTTCAGATGGGAACTGCTCCATTTTTAGGGGGATCCCATACTAGGTCTCAACTGCCCATTAGTAATTCAATCAACATTATGCAAGTGGCTGTGTGCCAGGCTCTTTGCTGGGTACGAGGGATCCAGAGACTATGTAGTAGAGTCCTAGTCACTCCAGGGGTCAGTGAGGCTTGGGGGAGCCAGGCAGGAGGCCCAGTGACTGCAGCCTGAAGAGAAGGATAGTAAGAGAGACATTCATCCTGGAAATAGAGGCTGCCCACACAACGTTCCCTGAATGTTGAGAGCCATCATGGGCTGTGTGTGGACTTCATCAGCATTGCAGCCTAGTGAATAGGAGAATCTGGTATCTGGGAGCTTCCAGTGGGAATTTCCTCTGGCCAAGACTGCCCAGACACATTGTGAGTCCCATTCAAGCTCTGGCTGGTCCCACACAGCACCGGAGAAGGGGTGACCTGCTGCAGCCACACATCCTCTCAGAGATGGGTGTGACCTGCTAAGATGCCATTAACCTGCAGACTGCAAGACATCATGAAGCAAGACTCCACCCTTGAAACCTTATCCCTGCCTTTGATGTATCCCCAATTGTCCATCTCCAGCTCCTGTGTGGGCTGGATCTATCAGGTGCTCTACTTGAAAACTATCTTTCTGAGTCTTTTTATTCTTCACTAATTATTTATGATTTATTTTCTCTGGTGGCTTATACTTTCCTGGGCAGGAAAAAGGACCCCCAGATGAGGTGTTAGCCACCTCCCCATGCCTAAGTATGCAACTGCTTGACCTCTGAGCTGCCCCAAGAGGGTCAAGAAGTAGCTCTGGCCCCCTCTTCTGTCCTAGACTGGATGGTGCCAGAGTGTTCTCAATGAGCCATCCCTCCTCTTGCCCGCACCCAATGAAGCACCCTGGAGGGCTCTGTGTGAGCTTTAAAAAAGTTTGCTGGATAATGATCTAGAAGTATTTCTAAGAACAACATATTTGGACTAGACATTTAGACACAACATGGAGGCTAGAGTCAGTGCAGCAAGGGAACAGACTTCCTCTAGGGTCAGCTTGGCATGGACGGACCAACCAAGCCTACACAACAGAACCGACCGAAAGCTAAGCCAGCTTTGTTGGCAAAGGGGGGGTGCCTCTGGTGAGCCAGGTGGGTTTTCAGGGTAGAGGAAGAGCAGGGCAGAGTGGCTTCCTCCTTCCGTTTCTTTCGACATTATGACTAAACTCAAATACAAGGAAAGGTTCTGTTTGCAAAGCTCAACCTTTCTCACCACTTGCAGAGGCAAAGAGCTCTTCAAAATAAGTCCCCTCCCAGGCTGCAAAACAAATCAGGGTGTTTCACTCGTCAAGCTTGGCAAAGCGTGTACTCTTTAAAAGGGCCTCTGTGACCTTTAACCAGCTTGACGGTGGGGATCACTCCACAATGTGTGAATACAGCAAAACATTACACTCCATTCCTTAATACAAAACAAAAACTAAAATCAAAACCTGCCCCTATGTTGTTAAGATAGAAAGAAGGTACATGTGAGTTTTTAAATGGACACATAAACTTCTTTTCTGACTGCTCAGACACAGCCCTGTCCACTCTTGAGCCTCAGACCTGACAGAGTGGTCATCCCACCTTAGAATCATTGATATATCTGCCGTAGTTCACACGCCCCATGTTCTCCACCAGAAGGTCCAGGGTGGCTCCAGCTTTCCCTGTTATGTTTAGAGGGGTCACACTGGCTCGCTCAAGGATTCCTTGGGGGACCTGTGGGTTCAAAACCAAAAGAGCATTGAATTTTAGAAGATAAAAAGAGACCAGTGAAGAGGTAGCAGGCCAGCCAGGCACGGTGGCGCAAGCTTGTAATCCCAGCCGCTCAGGAGGCTGAGGCAGGAGGATCCCGAGTTCAAAGCCAGCCTCAGCAACTTAGTGAGGCACTTAGCAACTGAGCAAGACCCTGTCTCTAATAAAATATTTTTTTTTTAAAAAAAGGGCTGAGGATGTGGCTCAGCGATTAAGCATCCCTGGGTTCAAACCCCAGTAACACCCCCCCCCAAAAAAAAGAACAAAAATTAGCATACTGAGTTAATTTGGCACTCATTCTCCTGCATCCCCCTTTTTTGCCAGCAGGTATTGAACCTAGGGACGCATTACCACTGAGCAACATCCCCAGACCTTGTTTTACATTTTAGTTTGAGACAGGGTCTTGCTATGTTGCTCAGGGCCTCAAATTTGGTGATCCTCCTGCCTCAGCCTTCAAGAGCTCCTCATTCTCTTATCCTCCTGCCTTGAAGACAGATTTGTTGAGAGTGCTTTGATATTCCTTAGCCCAAACTGGCCAAGTGGCCACATTTCCCCAGTCACTGCTTCTTCAACAGAAAACTCTCCAGACCCAGCTTCGAGCACGGAAAAAGAGAGGCTGGTCTCCTGAGTTATCAAAACGAATCCAAAGAGAAATCCAGCAAGGAACAGAAAATGTCCCCTGCTTCTAGGGCCTGAAGCACAAAGGTGATTTGGAGGAACTGAGGATATGTCCACCCACTTTCCTCCCTTGGAATGTTTTACTCTGCATCTGTTTTTACTTTTTTGATTTTTACTTTTTGGATGAGGTGATTGAATCCAGAGGTGCTTAACATCTGGGCCACATTCCCAGCCCCTTTTGAATATTTTGTCTAGAGACAGGGTCTTGCTGAGTTGCTCAGTACCTCACTAAATTGTTGAGGCTGGATTTGAACTCAAAATCTTCCTGCCTCAGCCTCCTGAGCTGCTGGGATTATGAGTGTGCATCACCACACCCAGCTGTGAATCTGTTTTTAAAGGAAAGGGAATGAAGGCAAATCCCAGGGGAGGATTCCTATGAGAGAAACGCTTTGTGTTTCCACAGCACAACCGTCAGACATAAAGAAAAACTTCTAAACAACATGGAGATAGGAGGCAAAAATCAGATAACAGAGATAAAATCAGAGAGTTAGGTGGAGTAGTCTCACCTCAAAATACTTGATATGATGCATTAACCACGAAAATTATATAACAGAGTGAAGGAAAACAACAGGTATTTTTATCTATAACACATTCCTAATTTTTTAAAAAAGTTTTTTAGTTTTTTTTTTAACTGATGTACACTGATCGCAATTCAATAAGACAATTTCTAAATTGGTAGCCAAGAAAGAATCATTAAATGTAGTACAGTGTCTTAGCAACTGGCTCCCACCACAATTAATACTGATTACAAATGGAAATATTTTAGCGACAAAGATCTGATGAACACAATTCCTGAGGATTCTCTAGGACCATCATATCATTTGTAAATAATGACAATTTTATGCTTTCAGAAAAAAAAAGGAAAATATTTTCATTTTTAAAAAGTTGTTTTGTTTGTTTGAAGTGCTATACCCTCAGCACTTGTTAATTTTGAGATAGGGTCTTGCTAAACTTCCTGAGGCTGGCCTCGAACTGGTAATCTCTTGCCTCAGCCTCTTGAGTTGCTGACATTATGGTTGTGTGCCACTGTGCCAGCCTTAATTTAAAACCTTCTGAACCATTTTCCTTGGTTAGCAAAATCATTTTATGTGTTCTTTCATATGACTATTTCTATGACAGGAAGAGTTATATATTTTTTTTAATATTTATGTTTTAGTTTTAGGTGGACACATTATCTTTATTTTACATTTATGTGGTGCTGAGGCTCGAACCCAGTACCTCGTGCATGCTAGGCAAGCACTCTACCACTGAGCCACAACCCCAGCCCCAGGAACAGTTATCTTAAAATGTATCTGGGCTTCATGATGAAACAGAGTTCTTGGTCCCTTTAAGTTATAATTGTCAGAATATAATTTCTCATTCAAGATGAGGCTCCAACTTCAATGAACTCTGTATCGTGGCAGGTACAAAACTCAACTGGAAATGGATCCTGTCCTTAACAAAGGCCTGGGCAATATGCTGGGGTCAGAGAGCTCAAAAGGCCTCCCAGAGGCTGGGTCTTTGAGCGTAGCCCTCTGAAGGGTGTTGGGTGCATTCCAGGCAGATGGGCCAAGTGTGAGGCCACCTCAGCAATGGAGGGGCACAACTAAAGGGCATCAAGGAGAGAGGTAGAGGCTGCGTAGGGGAGCAAAGGCCTCAACGGCCATGTTAACAGGTGCAGTCTACAAGTCCCCCAGCTGGGGCAGAAATGCACCAGTCAGAGATGATTCTTACCCCATTCACTGAGACATAGGCCCGATCGTGGACTCCACTCAAGGGTGCGTGGAGGGATGTTGAGTTGCTACAGTCTTGAGGAAGAGTTGTTCGGTACAGCACGAACCCAAAATACTGGATAGAAAGGGATTTAAGAAAAATGCATCACTCCTGCTGTTCATTTAAAGAGAACCTGTTTTCTCTTGTCTTTAAGAGATATTTCAAAAACCATAAGGAATGAAGAGCTTCCCCCATCCCTAGCAAAATACAATCTGCAAGAAGAGAAGTAGCAGCCGGGCGCAGTGGCATATGCCTGTAATCCCACCAGCTCAGGAGGCTGAGGAAGGAGGATCGGGAGTTCAAAGTCAGCCTCAGCGACTTAGTGAGGCCCTAAGCAACTCAGTGAGACCCTGTCTCTAAATAAAATACAAAAAAGGGGCTGGGGATATGGCTCAGTGGTTAAACACCCCTGGGTTCAATTCCCGCTAAAAAAAAAAAGAAAGAAAAAAGAAGAGAAGTAGTTCAGATTTTTAGATCTTAGAACAACTATCTCAACAGCAGCACGACACTCTGCAGAGCGCCTCATGGAGCACCCCTTTCCCATAAGGGGGCACTGGACCCTGGGCAGGTTAAGTTATTTGCCCAGAGTGACTCAGAAGATCAGCTCATATATGTCAAAGGTTGCTGATTTTAACTCAAAAAACAAAACCAAGAAAACAACAACAAAACAACCAAGATAAACATGCACCAATAAAACCAAGAGATGAAATTCTGCTCAGTAAAATATTTTCCAAGTTCTTGAGCTAAATCTGCTCTAACTCACAAAACAAGACTCAATTTGAAACTATTACAAGTGGAGAAAAAGGGGCAGAGGGTTGAGAGACTCGGGTTGTGACTTTGCTAAGTCAGAAGTTACTCTGAGATCCTGACATCCCTGGTCCTAAAGGAACACCTCAGACCATCAGCCTCAGAGTCCACGGAATTACAGTTATCGATTTTGCCTATTTGCTTCTTGCTATGGACTTTTAACCAAAGTGCACTGGGACAAAAATCCTGAGTCACAGATGAGAATCCAAATTGAAATCTAACGTGGAAAAGAGAAAAAAGTCCTCCGGTTCTAGGGCCTGAAGTGGAAAGGTGATTTGTGGGCACTGAGAAAAATGTTGATCTACTTTCCTGTCATTGCAGGACCTGACTGTGACTTCAAGCACAAGCATTACCTGCTCCCAGATCTCTATCTTCATCTTGTTTAGCTACTTATTGAGACTAACCAAGGTGATGGGTATTAAAGCAGAGGCTGAGAAAAACTTTGCACAGGGCTTCCAGGAGGGAGCGGAAACAGGGCTGCTCCCTGCACAGGTGTGGCTAGGCACAGGGCCAGGCCCCACTCCTGCAGCCTGTGCCCCCACAGTTTCACTGAAAATAAATGTTCCGTGGGCTGCTTACCCTAGACCTGAAAGATCCAGGACCCAGGGAGCTCCAACCAATTCTAGAGCAGAGGGTCTGACCAAGAACAGAGGCTGCAGGTGTTTGAACATTAACCTGGAGGTCACTCTCCAGACTCCAAGCCTGGTGTGCTCCATGATGCTGCTAAGTAAAAATAAGTTTGTTTGTTTTTCTTCCAGTGTTGGGGATTGAACCCAGGATCTTGCGTAAGCTAGGTAAGTGCTCCACCACTGAGCCACATCCCCAACCTGCAACTTCTATTTTATAGATGAGAACACAGATGTACTGCTAGTGTGTACTATAACTGAATAAAGAACCCAATCCAATGTTAAATTAAAAAACTAACTTTTGGGGGCTGGGGTTGTGGCTCAGTTGTAGAATGCTCGCCTAGCATGTTTGAGGCCCTGGGTTTGATCCTCTGCACCACATAAAAATAAATAAATAAAATAAAGGTATTGTATCCAACTACAACTAAAAAATAAGTATTTTTTTAAAAAATAAATATTTTAAAAGTTAACTTTTAAAAATTATTATTAGTATTGGTGCTGGGGATTGAACTCAGGAGTGCTCCACCACTGAACTAAACCCCCAACCCTTTTATTCTGAGACACGGTCTCACTGAGTTGCTGAGGCTGGCCTTGATCTTGCAATCCTCTTGCCTCAGCCTCCTGAGTAGCTGGCCTGATTAGAGGCCTAAGCCACTGCACCCAGCTTAATTGTCCACTTTCTTGACCACAAAATAAGATTTATTGAAATAAAATCACAAGTGTAAAAATAGTAACTGGAGGTGAAGTATACTAAGATTAGATATGCTGTTTTTATGTCACCTTACTGTTCAGACTTCTTCCAGAAAGCACTCTACACCAAAAAATCAGAAAGGAAGATTCAATAACCAACATTTCAAAAAATGGGGCTGAGATCCATTTTAAGACAGCAACAAAGGGACAAACCAATGCCATGGCCATTCTGACGTCCTGCCCTGACAAGGACATGTCACCTCTGTTGCGTTAATGACCAAACCATTTTACTGAGTCTAATTGGTGAGGGACAGCCTATAAAGAGCCTGAACTCCTCAAAAGTGTCAGTGTCATGAGAGGTAGTCCTAGGAACCGTTTTAGATGAAAGAAAACTAAGGAGACATTATAACTAAATAAAAATGTGAGATCATAGATTGAAGATTGCATTGAAAAAAAATTAAAAGGGAGAATACTGGGATGCCCAGGGAAGCTTGGATATAGAATATATTTAGATAATAGGATGGGATCAGTGTCAAAATTTCCTAAGTGTGATCACTGTACTGTGGTGATATAGGAAAATGTCCTCTTTCTAAAAAAAAAAAAAACAAAAAAAAAACACTGCGCTATTTAAAGGTGATGTTGATTGACAACTAAACATGATTAAAAAAAGAAAAGCTGATGACTATGTACACGCCTGGAAAGAAAAACAAAGCAGGCAAAACAACTGCTAACAACTGGTAAATCTTGACCAAAACGGATACAGGTGTTTATTGTACTATTTTTGCAACTTTTTAAATACCTTTATTTATTTTTATGTGCTGCTGAGGATCGAACCCAGTGCCTCGCACATGCTAAGCAAGTGCTCTACCTCTGAGCCACAACCCTAGATCCCCCCTTGCAACTTTTTTAGAGCTAAGACTTTCAGAAATAAAAAGTTGGAGAAACCTTCTTTTTTTAAAAAAAAAAAAAAAAAGATGAGGCAGTGCCTAGAGATTCAACATGTACAAATATACAGGTACTAACAATCAGATGTGCTCCAAAAGCAGGGAAAAGAATGTTTAGAAACCCAGGCTACCAAGAACACAGCACCTACACCACTGGGCTAACTAAGAAAAAATAATTGTGTTGGGTATTAAAATAGTAGTTCTCCACTGAGGCCGAGCAATAAGGATTAACTAGACCAGTCAATGCACTCAATTTCTAACTTGTCCAGGAGTATGCTGAAGCAGTCTGAGCCACTTCCAATGGCTGTGATAAGGAGGACTGGGAGAAAAACATATGAAAGGTCAGTCCACTGTGTAGAAAGGTCAGTCCACTGTGTAGAAAGATCAGCCCACAGTGCACTGCTTCAAGCCAGAGAACTGGAAACCCGGGGCTCAGACTCACTTGCTCAGCATTTTGGCCCCTGAACTCAGAACAAGCACTACAAGGCAGAAGGCACAATTTTGCCAGAAGAAAAAAGATAAAGCATTACCTCTGAAGACCTACCTGTTTCACCTGTATAAATGTCAAGGGATAAAGGCTTTTTATGGGTCCACCAGGACACAAGATGTCCAGAGCTGCCTCCACTGTCTTTAACTGAAAAGAAACAAAAGCAGGATTCACTCAGTGACACTGGTAATCAGAGAGGAACATTATATCCAAACTATCAAAGACATGAGTGGACTGGACCAAACCCCTAAATAAAACCAAGTCATTCAAATTCCAACTAAAGTACTGCGTCCCAGTTACCTCTACTCCTCTATCCACTCCCCAACTCTTGATGAAGATGTAAATGATGATAGTTTTTTTTTTTTTTTTTGGTACTGGGGATTGAACCCAAGGGTGCTTTGCCACTGAGTTACATCCCCGGCCCTTTTTGAGACAGGATCTTGCTAAGTCACTGAGGCTGACCTCAAATTTGCGATCCTTTTCCCCCAGCCTCCTGAGTCACTGGGATTACAGACATGCACCACTGTGCCCGTCTAAATGATAATAATCTTAAAAAGAGTTTTAAACATGCCCATTCAGAAATACAACCTGCTCAGAGCTGCCTATAAAAGGCCGTAAAATGAACGAAAACCAAAGTTCTGAGGCTGCCTTCTTTGTAAAGCTTTCTACAACATCTTTGACAAAACAACTGGGAAGTAGAGATAGTAACTAGAGGCAAATTATGCTAAAATTAGATATGCTATTCTTATGTCAGCTCACTATAACTATCTTATAGTTATTTTGCCCTCCCCTGAGCTTGTTGGCAGCAAGTGTTCCAGCCTGTGTCCATTCTTGGCTGTTAGTCTTCCTTGACAGACTACCAGGTCCTTCAGGGTAAGACATGTACTGTGCTCACCCCCACTGCCCCAGCTCCCAGGACACATGATAAACATTTATCTTATTCACTCCAAGGGATTGTGTATTCCTGCAATCCAGGATGTTTACTCTGATGCAATAACACCACCAATAATAACAGCTCCCAGTCATTGATCGCCTACACCCTTCAGATGAGATGGAGCATTTCACACCCACTATTTCATTAGATTTCAGTTGCCCCATGAAGCAGGTATTTCGGTCCCCGTTTGTAATTGTGGCAGTAGAGACTCAGAGAGCTCACAAGAGCAATGGCAGAGCCAGGATTTGCAGTTATATTTGGCTCCAAAACCCAAGGCTTTCTACCGTATGATACTGGTTAGGAATTTTACATCCATTTTCCATGGTTTCTTGCTGATGTGCAGCATCTAGGAATATTTTTTTTTTCTTTTGTCCTGGGGATTGACACCAGAGGGAATTTTACTACTGAGCCATATCCTCAACCTTATTTTTTATTTTGAGACAGGGTCTCGCTAAGTTGCTTAGGGTCTTGCCAAGTTGCTTAGGGTCTCACTAAGTTGCTGAGGCTGTGCTTGAACTTGGGATCCTCCTGCTTTAGCCTCTTAAGCCACTGGGATTACAGGTATGTGCCACTGTGCCCTGCACCCTAGGAAAGTAATCCTTTTTAAAAAATATATTTATTTTTTAGTTGTAGTTGGACACAATATCTTTATTTCACTTATTTATTTTTTATGTGGTGCTGAGGATCGAACCTAGAGTCTCGCATGTGCGAGGAGAGTGCTCTACCACTGAGCCACAACCCCAGCCCAGGAAAATAATCTTAATGACCAGTTCATCAAGTTGACTACTCACATGGATTCTAACCCACTTGGATAACTAAAGCAATAACAACTCACAGTAAAAGCTTTTATTCTATATAAATTACATCCTACAGAGATTTCATTTAGTCATATGCCAATTTGGTAACCTTAAATTGTACACATTGAAAAGGTCACTTCTAGACATACAACTTTTTTTTTTTAAATATTTATTTTTTAGTTGTAGTTGGTCGGACACAATACTTTTATTTTATTTATTTTTATGTGGTTCTGAGGATCGAACCCAGGGCCTTGCATGTGCTAGGAAAGCACTCTGTTGCTGAGCCACAACCCCAGCCCTCACACAACTTTCTTTCATGGTAAACAAATGTGCTTCTGGGATTAAGTTAGGTTTTTTTTTTTTTGTTGTTTTGTTTTGTATTTAAAGCAATGCTGTCATTTTAAATATTTAGAGTTATTTTCTGTTGCCTAATTTTCATGGCTCTAAAACTAACTAACCTTTTCCTTAATAAGCTATAGCAACGAACAAGTAGAAGGTGCTCCCTTTGCAAGTGTGATTAAAGTCTGATTAATCTAAAGAGAGATTCCTATCAGAGACAGAGACCACATTCTTTGTAGAATGTAGCACATGTATCTGACACTAGGTGGAAAATGTCACAAGAGCTCAACCAACCCACTATAGTGTCAAAGGGCTTCTTGAACGGAAAAATTATACAATCATGTTTGGCATTTTGCTTCAAGATAAAAAGTTACGATGCTATTTTAGAATCTCAAGTTTCTTAAGAAATAAGTAACTTCATTTCTTTTTCTTATGAGTGAGTACATGTAGGAGTTAGGAATTATGAGGGGAAAACCTAAAGGCAGAGATGGTCAAAACAAACTGACTTTGGCTTACGTCACTCCTTCTGACTATTAAATAAAATCTCTTTCTCTCTCCTTAGACTATAATGCCTTTAACTTTACTTATGATTAATTTCTAGCGTTTTTCCCCCCTGATGTCCTATATACCAATACATCTTTAAGTTAGGACATGGTTTTGAGAAGAAGGGGTATGTGTAGTTGAGGGCAGAGGTTTATTAAAATTCCTGTGGTTAGGAGCAACTCTTTTAAAAAGAGAGTGAATTATAGTAAATTCACTATAAAGTAAAGAGCCACCCCCTTTCCATAAGGGCTGCAGGCACTGCTCTTTGGACAGCTGATCATTGAGCCAGAATGACCTGAATGATCTAAGAACACCCGTGACTCCTGTTTATGTCTTACGTGCATATCCTGTCAACACACACCCCTATCTTCTCATCTTCCATTGCTCCATTTCCCCAGAAACATCCCCTACCCCATCTGGCTCGTGGAAAACAAATTCACAGAAAAATAACGACTTTGTTCCCCAACACAGCACTTTCACTCACTGCGGCTCAATTATACTTTCTTATTCCTGTTTGACTTTCAACGCTTCTTATTTATTTTTCTTACCTTTTTCAGAGACACTTTTCCATAGGCGAACTTTGGTGTGGATGGAGGGATAGGACCTTCTGGTACCTCTTCAAACTATACATACACCAGAGGGAGAGAAGAGAGGAAAGAAAAGAACTATTAAACCTTCAGAAACCAACCTGTAAAATTCATTTTTCAAAAGGAAGGTCAAAGTCTCAAACAACAGTACTTGGTGATTTTTGGAAAGGCAAAGGAACAAAAGATTTCTTCCAAAATTATGTCAGGTAGAGGTTTTTTTTTTTTCCTTTCTTTTTTTTTTTTTGTTTTTTTTTTTTTTTTTAGTTGTAGATGGACACAATATCTTTATGTATTTTTTAAAATATTTTTTAGTTATAGGTGGACACAATATCTTTATTTTATCTTTATGTGGTGCTGAGGATTGAACCCAGTGCCTCACATGTGCAAGGCAAGTGCTCTACCAATGAGCTACAGCCCTAGCCTTTTTAAAAAAAAAAATATTTTAAAAAATATTTATTTTTTATGGGGCTGGGGATGTGGCTCAAGTGGTAGTGCACTCGCCTGGCATGAGTGCAGCCTGGGTTCGATCCTCAGCACCACAAACAAAGATGTTGTGTCTGCCAAAAACTAAAAAATAAATATTAAAATTAAAAAAAATATTTATTTTTTAGTTGTAACTGGACACAATACCTTTATTTATTTTTAGGTGGCACTGAGGTTTGAACCCAGGTCCTCGCAAGTGCTAGGCAAGCGCTCCATGGTTGAGCCATAACCCCAGCCCCCACTTTGTTTTTTTTTAATTTTTTTTTCTTAGTTGTAGTTGGATACAATACCTTTATTTTATTTATTTATTTTCCTGTGGTGCTGAGGATCGAACCCAGCACCTTGCATGTGCTAGGCGAGTGCTCTACTGCTGAGTCACAACCCCAGCCCCTCAGGTAGAGTTTTTATTTTATTAAGTGTGTCTGTGGTTGAAACGTGGGGAATCAATCATCCAAATAGTTATAGAACAAGGCTGAAAAATCAAGTGGAGAGAATGAGGGTCAACAGCAGATAATGGGGTGAGGAAAAAAGAACCAAGACATGTGGCAACTCTCACTGAGTTGCTTAGCGCCTTGCTAAATTGCTGAGGCTGGCTTTGAACTCATGATTCTTCTGCCTCAACCTCCTGAGTCACTGGGATTACAGGTGTGCACCACCATGTCCAGCTGTCTACAAATTCTTACAAAACATATACTGAAGTATTTAGGGGTAAAGATTCATGATGTATGCAACCCTCCAGTGGTTTAGAACATATACATAGGGTGGCGGGGGAAGGAGAATAAATGATAAACCAAACAGAAATTTTGCTCTTATGACTTTCCTTTAAATTTGGATTTTTTTCTTGTGTGCATGTGATGGGGTGGGTACTGGGAAATGAGCCCAGGAGTACTTTACTACTGAATAACATGCCTATCCTTATTTTTAAATTTGATTTTGACAGGGTCTCACTGAGTTGCCTAGGCTGGCCCTGAACTTGTGATCCTCCTGCCTCAGCCTCCTAAATCGCTGGGATTATAGGTGTGCATCACTACACCTGGCCACTTTTTCCTTTTTAAAGTAACAAGATGGACATTTTAGATTGCTCCTCTATCTATATACATATATAAAAATTTATATACATATATACAATTTTTTGTACTGGGGATTAAACTCGGGGGGTACTCAACCACTGAGCCACATCCCAGTCCTATTTTGTATTTTATTTAGAGACAGGGTCTTACTGAGTCACTTAGTGCCTTAAGTTGCTGAGGCTGGCTTTGAACTCGCAATTCTCCTGTATTAGCCTCCCAAGCCTCTGGGATTTCAGGTGTGTGCCATTGCGCTTGGCTATATCTTCATTTTTCCCCATTTTTTCATCTGATTCCAATTCTAAGAAATTATTATTTTTTTTCTGGTACTGGGAATTGAACTCAGAGGTACTCAATCACTGAGTCACATCCCCAGCCCTATTTTGTATTTTTTTTTTAGAGACAGGGTCTCACTAAACTGTGCCTCAAAGTTGCTGAGGCTGGCTTCAAACTCAAGATTCTCCTGTCTCAGCCTCCCAAGCCGATTGGATTACAGGTATGCACCGATATGCCAGGCTGAAATTCTCTTTTTAAAATATTTTTTAGTTGTAGATGGACACAATGACTTTATTTTTATGTGGTGCTGAGGATTGAACCCAGCGCCTCACACATGCTAGGCAAGTGCTCTATCACTGAGTCACAACCCCAGCCATGAAGTTATTTTTAATTTGCATGAACTCCTCGTTCTCTAGTGGCTACTTTTTCAGAGCATTCTATTCTTATTTTATGTATACAATATATTCTCAACTTTCTTGGAAAGAGACAAGGATATATCCTTCAGATATGAGAGCTTTTACTTAAGATCTCTCTTGTCCCTTGATTCTCTGTTGCCTCTAGGGTCATTTCTCTCTATTTCATCTTGTCTTTCCCTTTCCTATTGTAGGTCGGGTTTACGGTTGTGCTCAAATAGCTGGCCATCATTGGTCGTCCATTAATGTTCAATGGTAAAGCAAACAAAATGTATCAGCACCTGCTTAAATCATTCTACCTGTAACAGTCCTGCTCTGTGACAGAGCAAGGTTTGTTTTAGAGCAATTTAACTTGAGAGTCAGATGTAATATGGGGAGGGTCTTTGCTTTAAGAGGAAACATTTTTAATGTTTAAAGGAAACATTTTTCCTTTAAAAATGTTTAAATTCAAATTTAGTTAAATGAACTCTTTCAAAAGTGTTTTCTTGATCAATGTGTTCATGTTGTATACATTCCCTTTTATAACACATTTTGATTTCATTTAACTTTCTTTGGCACAATTTCTCTGGGATGGAAATGTAATAAATCCTATGAAAGCAAATTAAAAATTTTTTTCACAAGGGACAATAAAAATACATTTTGGAGCATTTTAAATGGTACACTTGAAAAGAACGGCCCTATTTTTTATTTTTAACATATTTTGGTATTTTTTTCTTTTGGTACTGAAGGCTTAACTCAGGAGCACCTTCTCACCGATCTACATCCCCAGCCTTTTAAAATTTATTTTTATTTTTATTTTTTTTTTTGTGGGTACTGGGGCTTGAACTCAGGAACACTCGACCACTGAGTCACATCCCTGGCCCCTTTTTGTATTTTATTTAGAGACCGGGTCTCACTGAGTTGCTTTGTGCCTCGTTTTTGCTGAGGCTGGGTTTGAACTCATGATCCTCCTGTCTCTCAGCCTTCCAATCTTCTGGGATTAGAGGCATGTACCACTGCACCCAACCCTTTTTATTTTAAGACAGTCTATATTTTTAAGAGTGGTAATATTTTTAACAAATTTTAAAAACAAATATTTCTCAGTCTTGATCCAACAAACACATCATCAGGCCTAAATCTAGGTAAGTGTCCTTGCATTCAAATCTAAGCAAATTACTACCTATGTAACATATCCAAGAGATTAAATATAAGTTTATATTTAAATGTTTAACATATGTCATCTCTGTACCTAGAGATACAACATTTGTTTTATTGGCAAAACATTTTATATCTCCCTTGATAGGCCATTCAATGTGTACCTCACATGCATATATATACACACACTCTTACACATTTTTCTTTCTGTAAGGAAAAAAAGTCTTTTTGGAAGATATAGCTCAGAGATTTATTAAAGGGGTCCTGAAAAGCAGACATGGCTGGTTATTTTATAAATTGTGGTGCATTATCAAGTTCAATTGATTAGAGAGAAGATACCCTGTCACCTGATGCTTAGAACCACTGGCACCACAAAACAGTGTTTATCTGACAAATTCACCATCAGACAAATTCACCATCAATTTGGCAATCTTTAACATAACTACTCTATTTTTGAATATGCATAATATAAAAACTTTATATGCAATTACATAGCATCCACTATAATAAAAATGGCACAGATACAACCTACTTAACAGTATAAAAAAATTGGCAGATGAAGTTAGCATCATGCTCCATTAAAAGTTAAAAAAAAAAAAAAAAAAAAGTTCTCTGAATTTCTGCCTGGTAGAAAGATGGCTCCCTGATAAACACTTTGTGTCTGAGTAGGGTGAGGGAGAACCTTCCAGGAAATACATAGGGTGCAATTAAACTTCCCATTTTTAGCTCCCTTTTGTTTCTATCCTTTCACCTATCTGCATTTCCAGGACCCTGTGTATTAATTTGTTTTCTGTTACTGTAACAAAATACCTAAGGTATGCTAACTTCAAAAACACAAGAAGTTATTCAGCTCACAGTTCTGGCAAGTCAAGTCTTAATAAGCACAGGCTGATCCCTGGAGAGGAACTCCTGGTGGATAACAGAAGCAAGGACAGGAGGAAGAGATCATATTTCGCAACAGGAAGCTTGAGAGGCAGTAGGACCAGGCTCATACTTTTATAACCACCCTCTCACAAGAACAAACTAGGGTCTGGAGAGAAGTACCTATCCGTGTCCAAGGGCAGCACCTCTGCTTGACCCAAGGACCTCCCAGTAAACAGTCTCCCATACTACCTTCCAATACTGCCACTCTGGGGACTAATATAACAACATGTAAACACTGGGTGACAAAACACATCCAGGGTTCTTTGAGGTATATCCCTGCTCCCTGAACCTATAAGCCCTGTCACTCTCACTGGAATCCAAGGTTTTCTTGCCCTCCATTTTCAGTCTCCACTCCCCTATCATCTGCCCCACCCCCCAGTACCAGGGATTGAACCCAGGGACTTTTTTTTTTTAAAAGTCTGAACCTCCAATCACATTTCCTCTCCCAGTTTCTCTTCTAGACCCTCCCCTTATGCACATATAGAATATAAATTTAAGTGATATTTTTATAATTTGATACTGCTACTTACCCAAAGTATTTTTGGCATGGCTAAATACTGACAATATTTACATGACCATCTTTTTATATTTGGAATTGAATTATTTCTAATTTTAGTATTATAATGTTACAATAAGCAACTTCATGTCTAACATTTTTCTTTTTTTTTAATATTTATTTTTTAGTTTTCGGCGGATACAACATCTTTGTTTGTATGTGGTGCTGAGGATCGAACCCGGG